AAAGCTGAATTTTCAGCATCATTACTCCAGTTTTCAGTATCACATGATCCATCATAAATCATTCTAAAATGCTGAGTTGGTGCTAAAGAATCATTTCATAATATTTTGTATTAATATTTTTTATATTTTGATGGAAACCCATTATACTTTTTCAGGAATCTTAGATGAATAGAAAGTTTATTTGAAATAGATTTTTCTTGAAAGAGTCTTTACTGTGTCATTTTATTGCATCCTCACTGGTCATTATTTTTGTTTTCTTTGCACACAAAAAGTATTGTCGTAGCTTCATAAAATTGAGGTTGAACCACTGATGTCACATGGACTATTTTATCAATGTCCTTACTACCTTTCTGGGCCTTGAACGTGGTAGTTACGTTGCTGTCTATGCAGGGTCAGAAAGCTCTCTTGATTTCATAAAAAATATCTTAATTTGTGTTCCGAAGTTGAACGAAGGTCTTGTGGGTTTGGAGTGACATGAAGGTGAATAATTAATGACAGAATTTTCATTTTTGGGTGGACTATCCCTTTAAGCAGTAAATTACTGGTATAACAAATATTAGTTTAATATGATGCAAACTAAACTGACTAAAGTTTTCTCATGAAGTCTTGATAATACTCAACCCTTTCTAAAACAGATATTTGGATTACATTCACTGAAAAGTCACAGCTCGACATGTTTCAAGGTCCAAGTGACACCATTTGCATTTTGCTTGTGTTGTGTTTGCCAACTGGCCGTGGTGATCTTTTATGAATGATGCACTCCCACTAAAAAAGTGCCAGGATTTGGTAGAAATCAAGAATGTATGTTCACAGAAAGCTGACCTTGTGCTGACCTCTGATGTGCCAACAGGAAGTATAGGTACAGCCTGACCCTCTATAGGGTTTAATTTCATTTATGCTTTAGGTGTAATACGCTGTAATGCTGCACTCGAGCATACTGTTTATTTGTTACCCTACTACGCTTCCCACCCATATGTCATCTGATTGGACCATTTTCCTAGAATGCTCTAATCCATGGAGATTAAAAACCCTAATTTAATGCTCCCAGCCCACCTGGCTAAAGTGCATGAATCTGATTTCTCCATTTTTGCAAAGACTAAAGTCTCAAATCCAAAGAGATATTCTTTATAAAGAATTATATTCTAAAAGATATTCTATTCTTTATATTCTCCTACCTAAAACAGCTCGTTCTAACACGCCCCCAGATGTCTACGTCACTATGTGGGAAGATTTGCATAACGCCGCCCAAATGTTCACGCAAAGAAAGAAGGCGTAACTTTGATTCTCGCTGTAGTATTGTTGTTGCCGCCACCGCCGCCATGTCGTGAAGACGCTGTGTGTTTCGTTATGAAAGCGAAACTACTTTGTTTGGCCTTCCAAAAGAGGACACAACTAGAAATCAGTGGTTAAGTTGTATTAACAACACTGTTCCAGAACAGTTCAACCCAAATATTCAGATGTGTGCAACGCATTTTATGGAGGACGAGGACTGTTTCCTGGGAGAGTATAGCCTACAATGCCGGTGTCTGTTTCTATAAAGTGGGGCAGTTCCAACTTTGCAAGGACATTCTGGCGCTTCTGACTCACACACTGTAAGTAAGTTTTTATATTTAAAGAATTTGCCACTGACCATTCAAACGTGAGTTTTATATATATATATATATATATATATATATATATACTGTACACACAGAGAGATATTAATCATGCCTCAATAATGTAATGGCTTTCAATCATTTCCATTTGGGGGCTTTTCTTAAAGGGGTCATATGATGCAATTTAAATTTTTCCTTTCTCTTTGGAGTGTTACAAGCTCTTGGTGCATAAAGAAGATCTGTAAAGTTGCAAAGACTAAAGTCTCAAATCCACTTTTATTCTGACGCGTTTCAGAAAGGCGGGGCATAGAGGAGAAACAATAATGTACAGTATGTGGAAAATAATGTGTTTTTTGAACCTTAAACCGCATAAACACATTTCATTACACCAAATACACAAAATAATGTTCTTTTTAGCAACATCATATGACCCCTTTAACAAATATTGGTACACGTTATGCCATTATGTGATTAATTAGATTAAATGCTATATGTAAATTAAACTGCTGCTTTAGTTTCTATAAATAAATGCAAAATTTGTCGCACAATATACATTTCAAAATAATATAAATTATTTTTCAAGTATTTGGGAAAGTAATAAATGTTATTTTTTACAAATTATGATTAATTTCAATAATTTATTGAGTAAGTTCATTAATTAACAGTTTAATTTAATAAATTATAACTACGTTTTAATCATTTTACGGCTCTAGTTTCAACAAATAAATAACAAAACGTGTCACACAATATATATTTCAGAATTATATAGTCAAACATATTTGGGAAATTCATACATTTTTGAGAGGCTACATGATATTAATTTTGATTAATTTAAATAATTAATGGAATAAGTTAATGTATTGACACATAATTATATAGCCAAACGTATTTGAGAAATTAATACAGTTTAAGAGCCAACATGTCATTAATTTTAATTTCAATAATTAATGGAAGTGAATTAATTGGCAAATAAATTAATTTCATCTTTTAATTGATTGACAGTCCTAATTTCTTTAAATAAATCACACACAATACATATTTCAAAATTGCTGCAAGCATCAAACACATAAATGTAATTTCCCCCCCCCCAAAAAATAATACATAATGGCAATATCTATATGAAAATGCATATACATTTATTTTCAGGTTTTGAACAAGTCAAGGACAGCATGTGGTTTGGAATAGGTATATTTCAACTAATACATGTAATAGGTGATTATATTTCCCCTCTTTGAATATGCTTTGGATTTGACCATGTTCCAGTCCAATGAAAAGGTAAGTGATTGTCTAACCCTGCCCTCCAGATAACCTCTGAAGAGGGTTCAGAGCTGTGCACTATAAGCCCCTCTTGTCAGCGAAAACAGTGGGGGTCTTTGTGATCAGTCCGATTAGACGTGTAAAGCTGCATAAAGCCACTTTTGCTACAGGTTATCACATTTTCTTCAGGAATACGTCAGACAGAGGTCATTATGACAGACAGACCAGCCGCCAACAATAGTCCAGTGTAGTTGGGAGATTTGAATTTAATTTACTATGGTTCAACAGAAATGCTAGGATGTTAGGAATAATCGAGTGTGAATGTAAACTCGCCAACTAAATCACACACTTGGGGTCCGTAGAAGCTTTTTGTTCATTTGGACACATGTGCTTTGGCCTTACATCAGGTAACTGCTGAAAAGCTTGAGGGATTTCCCTCCTGATTGCTTCAGTGTGTCTCATAAATGCTCCTCAAAGCCTTGATGTCCTTCTCAAGTATGACTTAATGAATCTGGCATAAGATGAAAGTGAGGATGTTCTTTTTTGTGGGAAAATAAGAGAAGAATGACAAGTAACAATAGAGTGAATGTTGCACATTCACTGTCAGATGTAAGATGTTCAGTCATGGCTCATTACGTTTTATTCTTAGCAGCCATTTGTGACTCTTTACATAAAGTGCAGTTGGAATTTATGTGTAATTGCACGTTTTATTCATCTTGGTCTGGGATGTAGTTATTATTTTTGAGACATTTTATGTAAAGGCTAAGCATCGATTTGACTTTAATATCAGTTTCTAATGGGTCTGGGGTGCACAGCTGGAAATGAAGGGAGTCTGTTTGCAGAGGCTGTCTTATCATATGAATTTTCATAACAACGTTCATCCTCTATCACAGCAGGGGATCACTGTTTACCTTGTCTCCCTGTCTTTGAGACATCCTGTCTGCGTACTTCCATCAGCCTCTTTCCAAATTAGCTTCTTAGATGAGCGAAATGATGAGGATTGATCTGGACAAAGAGATAATCCCAGAAAATAAATCTGTAAAACTTCAGTCATATGCTTGATAAGGATCTGCATGATTATTTTATGTAGGCTGTCATATAATCTTATACTCTATATCCATAGAGTACTAAATACTTTATGATGTTTCACCATGCAGTTAGCCTATATGATCATTCATTATGAATCATAGAACTGAAACTAGATGAGGTATACAACGGAGTCTACTTTGTGGCTTTCAGTGCCCCCACCAGATGCTATATCTATAATGTACAGCTGAACTGTATGACTATATTTTATTTATTTATTATACACAGACACATACTTAGGGCTTCACACACAAGGACAGACAGACAGACAGACAGACAGATTATTGTGCAACCCAGCAATATTACTCTAACTAGTCAATAATAATAATAATAATAATAATAATAATAATGTGTTTTAAAAGATAATTTGTTGCTGCTAATAATACATTATTACTATAATATTAAATATGTTATTATTTTCCTGACAGGCAGGCATATTACTCCACAGTGCAATTATAATACGGGATTCACACACAAGGTTGGATGGATAGATAGATCTTTATTAATATTCATTATTGTTAATTAGGTTTTTATATTTGTTTTTATATTTGTTGTTAATAACACACATAGCCTACATATACAAATGTGTTGCTAATAACACACATGCATATATACACATAATACACGTTTATATATATGTATTTTTTGACAGATGCAGTCCAGCAAGGATAGACAAAGACAATAGTAGTAATAATAATAATTATAATAATAATGTGCTTTATTAATATTTATAATATTATTATTAATATATGTTGTAAAACGCATTATTATTATTATTAGACAGGCACAGCCCAGCAATATTTCTCCAATTAGTCACAGTGCAATTATACAACTGTGCAACGTGGTTGGTCTTATGTAGCCTAAGCGCAAAGCTCTCAGACAAGGTATCCATCGGCGTCTCGCACTATTCACCAACGCACTACTTATCACTGCTGATGAATGCTTATACATTTAACGTTACAGTGTAATTCTAGATTTTATCACTCAGTATTTCTTCTTCTTGAACCGCGAAAGAATTTTGAGAAGTGTGTGTGTGTGTGATTTGACTGTAGTGCGTCTATCCGTCGCGGAGGGATCTGTGCAACGCGTCCAGCGCCCAAACACGAGAATTAAGAGTTAATACGGTCTCCTCGCTCTCTCACACACAGACACATCAACCGAGCGCACCGACCAGACGCAAAAGCGCAAACGTGTGATGTTCTATCTCACTATGGGTGCGCGGGGACATTTGTGAATAATTACCGGAGTCTGACACCTTTGTAGACGAGGAATCGGAATCGTTTGCGATCGCTCGTGGGATTTTCGTGCAGAGTCCCTCTCCTAAAAAGCTACATTTTTTAAGGGAACTCTGTGTTCTCGGTGAAGGACGGAGTGCCGGTGTTTTCCGGTCCGAAGCACAGTTAAGCATCTTAAGGACTGAGAATCTTTTTGAGAAGACGACAAAAAATGTTACTGTCCAAGTTTGGATCTTTTTCTCATATTTGCAACACAACCAACATCGACCACTTGCCGGTGAAAATTCAACTTCAAGCAGGTAAGTTAACTTAGACGTCGTTCTTCGATTTCATAACGATATAAATTTTTCATGTCGCATTTAATCGCGTGCCCTTACTCCGCTATTTAGCTAACGTTACTCCTAATTTTCCATACGCGACTAGCCGCTTAATCGGGACGCGCCTTTTCTTGACCTGCGTATGGAGCCATTTTGTTGCCAACCGTGTGTTGTACACATTCGGTTTAAATCACGTTGTTATACCAACATACTGACTTATACTGCTTTTTCTCCTTCGTTTTACAGCCAAGACCGAAAGGGAGCCGTTTGAGAAGGTTTATCATGTGGGTTCGGTGCTGGGAAGCGGCGGGTTTGGGACAGTGTACGCCGGTACTCGGATCTCAGACGCGTTGCCGGTAAGCGCTGGCTTTGTTTTGGTGGCAGCACATGGCTGCGTTTGGCGCCACAGTCACACATTCACACGCGCGTTTTTCTTTTTGTTTCTAGGTTGCGATAAAACACGTTGCTAAGGAGAGAGTGACCGAATGGGGTACGATTGTAAGTAAACAAGCCTTTTATTTATGAATTTCTTAAACGCTTGGTTGTTTCTAAACCACGCGTTTTTATATTCCAGAACGGGTCGCTGGTTCCACTCGAGATTGTTTTGTTGAAGAAAGTGGGGAGTACGTTTCAGGGGGTCGTTAAACTCCTCGATTGGTATGAGAGAGCCGACGGCTGGTTGATTATAATGGAGCGGCCGGAGATGGTGAAGGATTTATTCGACTACATCACCGAGAAAGGCGCGCTGGATGAGGACGCCGCCCGGGGCTTCTTCAGGCAGGTTTTGGAGGCGGTTCGGCACTGCTACAGCTGCGGGGTGGTTCACCGGGATATCAAAGATGAGAACCTCCTGGTTGATTTACGCACGGGAGACCTGAAGCTCATTGACTTCGGCTCCGGGGCCATCCTCAAGGACACCGTCTACACAGACTTTGATGGTGCGTCCTTGACTCCTGCTTTGCATTGGCGCACCTGCCGCTTCTAATAAAACGAGTTGAAATATTTGTACTTGTCAAATCCTGAAAAAATAATTACCATCAGTAATTAGCATTAGATTTAAAAAGAATTAAGTGTCTGAATTGAGTGACTCACCTCTGCTGAAAAAAACAGCTTTGATGGTTTTATCTGGTCTGGCTTGCTTTCAAGTTATTTTAGGGAAACCATGGAAGACCATCTTTGACCTGTTAAGACTATCTTAGACCAGCAAACTTTTTTTTTTCTTTTAACATTTTAATTAAGTGAAAGACAACATTTGAAACAGAATGATGACGTTACACTTTTTTTCACCTTTTTACAACAGAGAGATTTATTTATATACATTTATATACAATATATACATTTGTTATTTTGACAACATTCTTGCATTTTTAAACTCATTTAATGTAACTTAAATCATCGAATCTGAGAGATAAGTTAGTGGAAAGGATCAGCTGTTACTGCGTAGCATCTGTTTGTTGTGAAACCTGAGTTGCGGCACCACATGATCCCATCACAGATCCCTGTTTTTGTTTGGTATCCAAGCGACTCCTGGCCTTTGGGGGCCTGTCACACCACCCCTAGTGAAGGGGCTTTTGTTGGGGGAAGTGACTCATGCTGGAAGCATGTGGAGTTGCCATAGCTTGTGACTGTTTGTACCTGAAAGTCTCCCTTTTAGATCGCCCTCCTGTTTCAGCTTGCTTGTATTTTTGGATCGAGCCGTTCTCCGGCTCACAGTGAGGCTGAAGGAGGGAGGAGAGTTTGTGCGAACGCCAGACCGCTGGCGCCCCCCTTGCTAGAGTCAGCTGACTGAAGCGGCTCATTATACAGTGCTGCAGTGTAATCAAAATCGGTGCTTTTTATGCCAGAACAAGGTGATTATGAAACGAGTGTTTTTTTTTTGTGCCAGAAATAAAAATCACAGAGTAGGTTTCAGGACAAAAAAAAAGTGCAATCTTCATGTTCTTGACCCGCAAATATGTTTTGTAAGTCTCAAAGGTTAATTCTCACTAAATTGAAAACAAAATGTTTTATTTTGTAGGCACGCGAGTGTACAGTCCTCCTGAGTGGATACGTTACCACAGATACCACGGACGCTCGGCAACCGTTTGGTCCCTAGGCGTCCTACTGTATGACATGGTGTGTGGTGACATCCCGTTTGAGCATGATGAGGAGATTCTAAGAGGACGGCTCTTTTTCAGGAGAAGAGTCTCTCCAGGTATGTTCTAAACCGGAGATACCCAAACCAGGGGCCAAAATTGACCCATAATGACCTTTGATTTGGCCTCAAATTGGATTAAACTGATGTAAACAGTCCAGTCTTTCTTTTTTAAACCTTTTTGTGGATGAGAAGTTTAACCTTGCTGCTTTTCTGTTTATCAGTCTGTCAGCAGCTCATCAAATGGTGCCTCTGCTTGAGACCTTCAGACCGGCCCACTTTGGAGCAGATCTTTGAGCATCAGTGGATGTGCATGGAGGAAAGCCCAAAAGCAGAAAGCGGCAACATCACACTTCACTCCATCAGCACAGAATCGGGCAAAGAAAGCCTTTGACGGATGCGGGGATGGCGAGTGAATGGACTCTGAGACCTTTTTTGCTCTTGTTCCCAGTCTGTTGGTTATCAGGACTTCGGTTTATGTTGCATAAATGTCTTTTTTTTGGTTGTTTTTCTTGCTAAGGGTGAGTTGTTACCCGTAGGGACTGCGTGAGCAGCAATGCTAGTGATCCTTTGATCTTACTGGTTGCTCTTATAGAGCTTGGACATTATTTTCCTTTTAGACTATCTTTTTAGTTTTCGGTGCCTTTTTTGAAAAGCTGCTTTTATGGGATTCAAGTCACGACTGACACCAGGTGGATTTTCATGGATTTTAGGGGAACTCCCCTGGATTCATGGGAACCTTCAAAGACTGTATCTAGTTATGTGGTGGGTCTCCCTCGCCCTCTAGTGGTCGAATACTTGAAGTACACACTTACTACTCTATTTAACAGTATCTCTCTGCTGCTCTGCCATTCATATTCACTATTTCGATGGTTTTCCCTTCTGTTATTTTCTGAATGTCTTCCACTACCTTCATCTCTGTTGATGTCACTTTTTAGACTTTGCTTAGCAGAGACTTGAGTGATGTGCACAATCAATGCAATATTCATGGACTCACTTATCTTTCCTTATTTCTTTTTTTTGGGGGGGGACTTTTTTATTTTTTTTATTTAATACAAGTATTTGTATTGTATTTATGTACATTTTCTTCCATGTATCTTATTTATTCATGCAATACAAACATTCCACATTCAGTGGCTATTTATTTATTTATTCATTTTATACCATCAGCAAAAAGTCAATTGAAATTATTAAATGTAAAGAGTTCTTGGGCTTATCTTTAGTTTAACCTAAAGGATCATAGACATGCTAAAGCTATCTAATACTGATACAAATATACGATTGAGATGTTTAGTGATGCCATTTTCTGATGCAGTGTAAAATTTAGAATCAGTTTTTTCTCCATGTGAAGTGGAAGTAAAAATGTGTTTTAGTCTTTCCACTGTGACAGTGTGGAATTTTTATTTTTTTTGAACTGGTGAAGCATTTATTTTTTTATATTGGACACAATAAATTCCTTTCATATGTAAAGTGTTTGTGGTGTCTGCTTGCATTTTAATTACATCCTTATGTTTTCATGTGCAGTTATACGCTGTGAGGATGCTGCCCCCTACAGATAGTGGAACAGAAATTTAAGATTGGATTGATTAGTAGAAACATAACTGATAGCTTAGAACATTTAGTAAAATAAAATAAAAAAATCTTAATATTCTTGCAATTCCATAATTTGGTTAAGTCCATTCCCAACATCTGATTTTGAACATGAGGAAGTAGCTACAGATTGTGTGTCTGACCCCTTACATGAACAGTCCATACATTCTGATGAGAAGTTAACATTACCCACATTCAACGGGGTATGCAAATGTGATGAGACATTGGCGTTATAGCATTACTGTCAAAGAGCTGAATAAGGCTTTGAGTCATTATGTAATGCATTATTCAGATGTAGAATCACCTGAGATTATTAAATTGTACCTACTGTTACTAAGGTATTAGATATATTTGGCACGTAATGACCCTTACAGTATGCAAATGAGTTAAATACTAACATAATAATAAAATGGGGTAAATTAATAAAATTACAGTTTTCCACAAAACAATTCTCTCTTCTATGGAAAGATCCATTCAGATTATTCTATATGAGCCGGACTGATATGAAGACTTGACTTCTGTTATAATGCCTGTATTGTAACTGGAGCAGTTTACTCAAGATAACTAATTTACCACAGGTTTACGTTAACATATGAGTCCATAATATAAGTCATAATAATAAATTTGATAATGGGTTGACAGCTGATGGATCAATAAATCAAGCGCTTTACACTTGTTGCAAAACTAATTGCAGGTCAAAGTTTCCCACATTTTTTGTCCTGTGACTTTCATGGTTTGTAATTACAGTATACTCAGCTAGCATGGGATGTTCTCAGAACTTTGTTTAATGTTCTGGCAAGGTTCTCTCAAAGTTATGAACAAACATTTTTCCAGTAACGTTAATAGAACATTCGCTCACAATTATCTGGTCTTTAATAATGTTAGCACAAAACCATGATTTATACACTGTTTATAGGAACTGAAGCAGTTTAGTTGCATGTTTGTGTAGCGTTTTTAAATGTTCCTACTTATTAGTTTCATATGGTTCAGAGAACGTTCAAAAGTAACATTCCCAAAATGCTTGGAAACTTTTTTTAAATAGAACATTCCCTTAATGTTGTATCTAAAGTTCACGTAACCAAGATTTTTTTTTTTTACATTTAAAAAACAAAGAACACTCAGAAACAACGATTTCATAACTTAACGGGAACGTTAGCAAAACAGTTTTGTCAGCTGGGTAAACATTTTAACAGAACCACGAATGAATAATTGATTCATATATTATTCATTCACCGATTCATTCATTGAAATAAAAACATTTATTAGATGAATGTCCACATACTTTTGGCCGTATAGTAGCTTTTGAGCTGAACGTAAGAAAAAAAAAAAACACATAGAAAATATATACATTAATCAATATACATTTAAATAAATATTAATAAAATATATACGTTTCAAATACAGATTTATTCATAAAAATAATTAATTTCCAGTACTTTCACAGTCATGGAAAACACTTTTTAAAACAACAATTATAAGTTAAAAATTTTAAGTTTTTATTCAAAATCGCGGCATGTTGTTGCCGCGTGGCGCTCTTTTGGTACTCTAATATGTGCAGCCTAGGGCGAAATAAAATAAATAACTGAACAATTTGGATCACACAATAATACAGTATCTTCTTCTTTAGTTTTTTTGGCGCATAACAATCTAAATGTATAGCGCCACCTACAGTACGTTGCTGTTGTGCAGTCATGTTATCTACTATTATCGTCAAAATAAAATTTTTTTTAAAAAAAAATTATAATTCTCCATAAATTTGAAACTCTTCCCTTTACCAGATTCCCAGGTTCCAGGGACCCATCTGGCGCTGCGTCTCCAGCTCCTCTAGAACACTTCCCTGGTTCTATACAGTATCCATTATGCATCTTGTCTAAAAACCATAGACTGTATAAGCTAAAAACAAGCTACGAGGCCCTGCCTAGCGCCTACTTCCTTATTTTTGCCGCGGAACGTAGTGACGTTGTGCGTATGGCGCCGTGCGCGATGACGCAGTGCGTAAGGCGATGGAGAGCTGCAGCCGCATTGTTGTGGGGGAAGAGAGTCGAACTAGCCTGCTAGCATAGTGCCCGTACGGCCAGCCCAGTAACGACCGAGAACAGGCGCATTAGTATGGTCGAGCTGCTGTTATCTTGAGCGTGTAACTCCGGCTTTTAAATGCTTATTTTTGGATCCGGCAGACCGTTACGGATACCTCATATTACCCCTGGAATACAACGGAGAAGCGGCTGGTGGACGGTAGCGCGGCTCGTGCACGGATTAAACCTACTGCTGTTCAGTAGGCCACAACGCTGCTGCTTTTAGCTCGGCCGTACTGCCTTTAAAGCTTCTTTTAACGTCGACGGCGAAGGTAAGAACGGACCGCAGTGTCTCTGGGGGTTTATTTATTTATTCGCGGCTTTAAAGGGCGTTTGTATTCACGTTTTACAGCGCGTGTTTTGTTTTGTTTGACGCCATGTTTTCAGTAATGTCGGTGGACCTTTCCAAACAGCATTAGCTCACTAGCACAGCCACCAGCAGGCCGCCGGATCCAGTGTGTGCCCTTGCTGCTCAGTTTGTGTGTTTTCTTTCCAGTCCAGTGTGTCTAGTGTGTTTGGCCTTGTCCTGCCCTGCCCACCTCAAACAAACAAAAGCCTGGATGTAAACCATGGCTGTTATCGGTTAAACGCCAATTGCTTAGTTAATGGGTTAATGTGTCAGTTTGTGGAGCTTAAAAGTCAGTTATGTGTTTCAAAAAATTAAACAACTCAAATCGGCAAGCACGTTACTGTTGTGTTGTTTACGTTGTAATCAAATAATTAACTACGTCAGATGGCGAAACGGCACATATAGACAAAAATACAAACGCAAGTGCTTTTTTCTGTTTCCATGCCGATTTTCTAACTTGGGTTTAGGTTGCTATGGATGCCAGATGGCTGTGTGCTTGCAGTTATGCCTGTTCACACCAAGGACGTTAACTATAAAGTTTAAAAATTGTTCTTTAAGAAATCCACTACACAAATGTAACGATAAAAACTCAAAGGAACGATATCGTTGAAACCAATTTCAGAACGTTTTTCCCCCAGCTGGTGGACGATAAAAACATTGACCGCCAATGAGAATCCAAACCACTCTGAAGAGTTTGAGTATTTAAAGTGGCAGAAGACAGAATTGCATCGCTCGCTTAAGACCCGTTCACGTCTAGAACGATAACAATAGCTATATTAGCGACCACGCGAACTTAGTAGCCTTTTGTTTATTATAAGCACGCTGCAGTTTTGTAGTCTTTCGGTTTAAATGCTCGAGCTGTTTAAAGTCGGGCCGATTCTGGTTGGCTGTCAGTGTTTTATCGTTCGTAAGCTAGTTCGTTTTGGAAGTTCTGAAAGTTAAGGTTCCTCTGCGTCGTTAATGTCATAGTTGTGGTGTGGACTTCACTATTCTCAAAGAATTAAAAGTATTATTAAAACTTAGTTGTCGTCCTTGGTTTGAACAGACTTTGACAGTAACAACATTTTCAAAACTATTTTTCCAGCTGATGATCAATACAAATGTTGACAGCCAATCAGAATTTGTCAGACTTTAATAAGCTCCAGCATTTAAAGCAACAGTCATGCAAGAAGCAGGTGAAATAAACAGCATGTTGTTGTTTGTTGGTGTGAATGCTATAGGTATTGCTATAGTTAACTTTGTAGCCAACGGTCCTGGTGTAAATGGATGTTTACAGTGTTGCTGTATTGTTTTTATAGCATCTGTGTTTGTATCTCGATCCAGAAATGAAATATGATCTGTGGGGGTACAAATTGTGGCTTTGAATCAGTTGATGTGTGCTTTTCTTTTACTTCAGTTCCTCTCTGGCATTCAAAATGAGGAAGAAGGTTCGACATAATCGTGTCGCCACCCCGCAGAGGCCTCCCTCTCCCATCAAACCCTCACGTAACCGCGAGACCTTGACGTACGCTGAGGCTCAGCGTATGGTTGAGCTGGAGATCGACGGCTGCGTGCACCGGCTCAGCATTTATGACAAACTGGATGTCATCGACAGCGATGACCCTTTAGCTCAGGAGATCAGCGAGTGCACCAGCAACAAGGAGAACACGGAGAAGCCGCAGCAGGTCCTCGTGCGCTCGGTGCGGCTTAAAAACAACCAGCAGAAGAAGAGCACCGCGTTGACGACTGTGCAGGGTTCGCCAGCTCAGGGCAGGCTACCAGAGCCAAAGATCCGAACGGTTGAGTACAATCTCCCGGCGGTGCCACGGAGACCGTCGGCGTACTACACCTATGTGGAGAAGACACTGGACGAGCTCGACGAGGAGGTGGAATACGACATGGACGAGGAAGACTATGCATGGCTCGAGCTGATCAACGAGAAGAGGAAGAGCGACGGCTACAGCCAGGTCTCTCAGAACGTCTTCGAGTTCCTCATGGACCGCTTCGAGAAGGAGTCTTTCTTCGAGAGCCAGGGCCAAGGAGAGCCCCAGCCACTTATCGACGAGGATGCCGTGTGCTGCATCTGCATGGATGGCGAGTGCCAGAACAGTAATGCGATTTTGTTCTGTGACATGTGCAATCTCGCCGTGCATCAGGAGTGTTACGGCGTTCCCCATATCCCGGAGGGCCGCTGGCTTTGCCGTCACTGCTTAAATTCTCCCTCCCAGCTCGCCGAGTGCATATTCTGTCCGAATAAAGGTGGCGCGCTTAAAAGGACGGACGATGATCGCTGGGGGCACGTGGTCTGCGCCATCTGGGTTCCCGAAGTCGGTTTTACCAATACGGTTTTCATCGAACCCATCGATGGTGTGGCAAACATTCCTCCAGCTCGCTGGAAACTTACCTGTTACCTGTGCAAGAAGAAA